ATTCCTATATGCACACTTCTCCAGGAGAATTCACACAACACATACTTCATAACACACCTCATTCCACAGGTTCCTCTATATACTATATCACATATTCATAGAAATGCTGGTTGTAAGGGGCCTCTAGTGACCATCTAGTCCAATTTTCTGCTCGAAGCAGGACTGTCATTGACACTAGATCATGTCACCTGTGGCTTTTGTACAGCTGAGTCTTGAAAACCCCTAAGAATGGATGGTGCGTGACCTCTCTGGGCAACCTGCTGGATGGCTGCACCATCCTCCTGATGAAAACATTTTTCCTAATATCCCATCTAGTAGCAATTTGTGGCCATTGTCCCTTGTTATACTCTCTGTTACTACCAAGAGAAATTTGGCTCTGACACGCTTCTAACTATCCTCAGGTAGTTGTAGGCTACTATTAAAGAGTGCCCCTTTGCCTCCTCTTCACCAAACTGAACAAGCTGAGCTCCCTCAACCTCTCTTTGAAGGTCACGTGCTGTAGACCCCTAACCATCTTGTTAGCCCTCCTCCTGCCCACTCCAGTTTCTCCACATCCCTCAAGTCCCCCTCAGTATAAGATTCCTCACCTTCAGTCATCTCCTAGAAACACTCCACATACAACTCCCAATGAACCTCACCTCGCCTCTGCATATTTTACGTTGTCCTTCCAATACAAACCGTAATATACCACAGTGAGCACACAATACATACCTTCTTCCACGCAAACAACACCAATGTTGTTATACGCACTAGTGTAAGGAGAGCTTCCCTCACAAATGAAAAGCTCTTAGCTTTATGTAGCTCTGCAAGTTCACTATGATTATTTGCTGTGCCCAGAAGCTTGTTTTTCTTATTTGTAAGGGCTGATGTAATAAAATATATCATAGCTCCCTAAAAACTTGGGCTCATTTAATCCCCCTCACCTCGGCAGAGACAGGTTCAGTATCCACATTCACCCTATGGTCGGGGCAACCCTTGGGGCAAAGGTACCCACCAGTACCCACTGTGGTACTCACCATAAAGCTCTGGTCTCCATACGCACTTTAGCTGTGTTCTGACACCACGCCAGTGAACGAGAAAACATCACTTTCTCCTTCCTCATAAAGGAAACCCAGGCACACAGCAGACTTCAAGAAGATGGGTCCCTGAGGGGGAGGACTGGGGCCTTGGGCTGGACGCCTGCAGCAGGGGTGTCTTCCTTGCAGTCAGCGCGACCAGTACACGCACCCTACAACCACGGCTGCAGGCACTGTACAGCACACCTCTGCTTCACAGCATAGACTGTCATGGAGACTCAGAGTCTTTTCCTTTAAGCCTCAGATATCTATCAAAACTCTTACCACATCTCACATCAGAAAGACCCAAATCCGTCTCAGGAATGGTTAGACTCACTTCAGCAACTTAAGGACCTAAATATTACCAGCCCTTCTCATTCTGCAGACTCACTTCTACCCATGCACACGGGGAAAGCTGAAGGAAATTCCTTTCTTTCCGTAGCCAGGGAAAATCAGGAGAATGTATCTCTTGCTTTGTCCACATACATAAAGAGTTACACCCTTCTATTTTCCCCACTTCTGTACAAAAGTTTAAGATCAGTCTTTCGAAGAATGTACCTAGGCACAGCAGGGAGTTTCATTAATCTACCAAATGAACTTCAGGATACTAGAAGTTTGAACAGTTAGTTTGGTGACATTAGCAAAGGATACTGAGCCCTCCTGTTGGTTGACTTGAGCCACCCTAGAAAGCAATCTTCCAGAATACTTGGCACTATAACGCATATTTTTGAACCTTTAGCCTTAAGTCTACTAGCCACACTTTACTGCAATACCTAAAGTTCACGTAATACCCCAGGAAGATACCCCAGTATCTTCCATCACTTGCCATGACTTCTTTTAATTCAGAAAAATACCTGCAGATCGGCTATATAAGCAAAATTTTAACAAAATGCAGTATCAATCCCAGGAAAGACGCAAAACAACTAGAAATGAGGAAATTCTGTGATCTGATTTTCAACTCACCATTATCCAGCACAAATAGAATTTATGTGCACAGACATCCTGTGCATATGCAAATACACTCACTTTTCATCTTTCATCTGAACTCAGACACACTGTGCTGCATTTGTAATACTGCATTGTAACGCTGCAGTCTTCTCCTGAAAGGAAGCATACTGTAGACTCTATTTCATCCACAGTGTATATACACTTGCATTTATAAACTGGTTAGATTTTAAAAAAATGCTCAAATGCTTAATAAAAATAGCAACTGTCCAAAATGTTCATGCCTAGAATTCCTTCAAACATCATGGAAAATGTGAATTAGGATGTTTTTCCTCGTCAAGGAACTATTAAGTAATACACAATGAAATCAATCTCCCAAAGATCTCTGAGCCTTTCACATGCCCTTTAACATACATAGCAGAAATTTCTATACACAGAAAAATGTGAATTTTGTACATTACGGATTTTTCTTCACTGTATCAGGCAAAAGGCGACTGAAAAAGAATGCCTGAAATATTTTAATTCACAAATGCACAAGTTTTTAAAAAAATGCTGCTTAAAACCAGCAAAGTTAAACCGGACTTATAAACATGCTTAATTTCCTCAACTGACATATTTAGTTGGGAATATCCTTGCAGAGTTTCATACTGTTTTAATTAAATCTGTTTCAACTGATTGTAAGGTTGAAATGGTGCATCACTAAAGACAGAGGAGGAAAACAGAAAAGCTGTTACGGCATCTGTCCACGGTGCTTCCTTACATCACTCAGGCAGAGAGGGGAGGCAGCAGTGGAAGGATACTGGGGTGGATCAAAACGATAGGGAAAAAAACACTTTTTTTTTTAAGCCGAATTCCCTGAAGACAAAGTGATCAAAAACGCCAGTCCCAAAGAATCAATTTTTTAGTTTAGAGGTGTAACGCCTGCTGAGATGTGCTCCATACTTGGAACATAGCCAGCTATGTTGATGCAGAAGTTCGGCTCTCACCCACAACAGCGGTTTTTGAAACCTGACTTCAGCGCGCTCTTTCTGAGGTGCAGGAGCGCCCTAATTCGGTGTTTTTGCGCAGCGGAGGCCCACAGCCAGCAGGCATACTCGCCTACCCGCTCCCAAACACGGCCGCCCTGAGGAACAGGGGAAAAGCGGCGTTTTAGCTCGCCTGTCTCGCCAGGGCGAG